AGCTGGAGAGGTGTGCCAGGGAAAGCTGGAGAGGTGTGCCAGGGAAAGCTGGAGAGGTGTGCCAGGGAAAGCTGGAGAGGTGTGCCAGGGAAAGCTGGAGAGGCCGGTGATGCTGACTATGTTTGGGTTACATTGCAAAACGGAATAAGGAACTTTACAAAGAAGGAGACAAGGTCTTCTTAAAGAGGGTGGTTTAGTTTGGGGAGCTCCCCACATCAGTGAGACAGAAAGCCAACAGCAGACTCTGGGAACCAGAGACGCTTAGAAAACTGGCGCCATGCTTTCAGTAACAGACATTTTCAAGAGCAGATAAAGAGGAGGCACCCAGTGTAACCACAGCATCACAGAAGGAAACAGTGGGAAAACCCTCTCTTCTTGGTGCTAGATGCTCTGGGTTCTACATTTGACAGGGCAGTTGCAAGATGCTGTTTCATAATGACCCTGCTTAGGGCTGGAGAGATAGCTCAGCAGTTAAAAGAGCTTCATCTCAAGCATGAGGACCCGAGTTTGGATCCTGGCACCCACATAATGAGCTAATGGGGTCCCACGTGCGGATGTGGAGACAGGAAAATAATTGGGGCTTGCTGGGTGCAAGCAAGTCAGAGACCCTGTCTTAAAGAAACAAGGTAGAGATGATGATATTCCATGCCCACTTCTGGCTTCTGTGCATGTGTAGGTGTGCACACCCTCATACAGATCAACACACACACACACACACACACACACACACACACACACACACACACACACACACCATGCACAGGTAGGGGAGAGGTGCTCAAGCATGCTTGAGCAGCCTGCAAGCCTACATGAATCCCGGTCCTGGAAAACTCCCAGCAGTGGCACTACACCACAGACTTAAGTAAGGTCCCCAGGATGCGGCCAGACTGTGGGCAACTGTGCAGTGTTGAGCACGCTAGAAACCTGTGCACAGACAGAGTCCTCTGCAGGGGACCTTCTGCACAGCACTAAGCCTTACTCTGGACTAGGATGCACCACCCAGGGGGTGGGGCGAGGCAGGTCCATGAGAGTAATTCCTGGAAGATTAACTGAATGGGCAAACCCTTAGAATGGGCAGCATCTTCCAGCAGCAATCCAGCTTTAAAAAGGCTTGAGGGAAAGGCAGTGCCTGCCCTCCTCCACTCCTTGCTGATAAGTGCATCTACTCCTGCCGCTGCCGCCGTCAGAGCCCAGTTTTTGTAGCTTTCTAACATGAGTGGAGACCAGCAGCTCTCCAGGACTCCCCGAGGCCTTCAGCACCAGATTGAAACCGCTGAGACATCTGAACTCTTGGAACTCCAGGGTTCTGAACCTCTCTGCTGTAGAGATGGCCATTGCTGGTTCCCTTTATAACATCTATCAGTTCTGTTCCCCTAGAGTGCCCTGAAATCCTTGATAGTGGTTGTTCAGTTGGAAGCTCTGCTTCGGTCCCACTACCCCTTATTCCAAACCCCGCCCCTCTCAGAAAGCCCGCCAAGCCACGGCTCCTCCCCTAGAGCTGTTCAAGACTCTGCCTACAGGGTATTTAAACTGACTCTTCCAGGCTGGCCATGTGGTTCTCCCCGCCTCCTCTCCCCATCTCAGGGAGCTGGAAAAGGTCACCTGGGAACGTTTTGCCCCACAAACCTGGTCTTTTATTGATTTGGCTTACTGCATTGGCAGAGAGACTTAATATTGGGGTATGGAAACCTTTCAGTGGTTTTGTCGGTGCTCACTTTATAATTGTTTTCTCCACAGTGCATGTGCTGTGGAATAAACAATTACATTTTTTTGTATATGTCACATTTTATAATTAAAAGTAAAGATGCAACGTTAAAGAATGTCTCTACATTTAATGATGCCTTTTGACTGCCAACCACTAAAATTGAGTCGTATTTTAACAAAAATTGTTAAAAGTTTAAAAATATACTATTGGTGAAATTATTAAGGCTACTCCACGTAGTTAAAAGGAAGATTTATTTAGTGGGTAACTTACAAATAAAGGGATAGGTAGGTCGTGGGGTCTGGGAAAGGTGTATTGCAGTCCAGCAGTGTTCTCTGGAGCTCTGCTTGGTCAACTTCCACCGTCTAGGGTCCAGGAACCGAGAGCATGCTCGCCCATCCAGATCTCGGGTCTCTCGGCGCCTCCCTTGGCCCCGCCTTGTAGGTGTGACAGTTGCTGAAGCCTCAATGGGGGTTGGAGCTTCCAGATCAAAGCTGGAATGGCTGCATCTCCCCCTTTTTGTCTAAATAAGAAGGTTCTAACCTAATACAAGACTATATACAAAGGGATGGTTGTCAAATATTGTCCAGGAATAATGAGGGATAATGACCTAGATAAGATGGAACTACAACCAATGGAGAACACTGTTTCTCCATTGTTCTCCATTATTAGCAATCTGCTGCAGAGCAATTAGCCTAATTTTTTTTTTTTAAACAGAGCCATGATGATGACCTAATAATAAATGCCATGTACCAAGTCTGAAACTGTGAGTATCACAGAGCTGGTGTTAGCTGTCTCTTTCCCAGTTTAACTTTTCTTCTTTACAAAGAAGCTGGATAAATGAGGAGATGTGTCTTCAGGGAAACAGTGACAGAGGAATTATGAAATAAGCAAGACTAAGCAAGCTACCTTTATTCTAGAGTCTCCGAGGATGTGCATAAGCTATTTCCAGTCACCAGGATCTCAGGATTTTAAAGCCTCTTCCTTACCAAGATTCCACTTTAGAGGTTACTTACACGAGCACTATTAAAAAAAGGCAGGAAAAAATAACATGGTTGGATTTTCTGACATGAAAATCGCACAGCTTTTTAAGTTCCTTTATTGGACTCCTCAATATGTGCTTTTTTTTTTGTTTGCTTGTTTGACTCCAGCTGCCTTTAAGGGTTAAGATGAACAATAAAAACCATCAGTACTTCATTTCCTGTCTCTTGCTTGCAGTAATCAATCAGTGGGTCAGGAGACCTCAGGATCTGATTTTCATACCTAAATCAAGGGGAGGAGGAATTACGACCTTACAAGCCTATTAGCTCCTCCTCCTCTTTCAGGAATTACAAGAGAAATTAAAACAAAATGCAAAAGAAGCGAACCCATGGATATAGTGTGAACATATGTCAGATTCAGAAGGCGAGTAGTTTCACGCCTGTGGCCCTGACAGGAACCCCTGTGCTGTTAGGGCCCCAGATGCAGTGGTTCCTAGCTGTAGAGACCAAGCATGCTCCACCTGCAATGTTAGGCCCCTGCTCTGCTGGCTCATTTTAAGTCAACTTAACACAAGCTAATGGCATCTGAGTTGAGGGAGCCTCAATTAAGAAAATGCCTCCATTAACACCTGGCTGTTGGCAAGGCTCTAGGGCATTTTCTTAATTAGTGATGGATGGATGGGGAAGGGCCCAGGCGTTTGTGGATGGGGTCACTCTGGTTCGGTGGTCCTGGGTTCTATAAGAAAGCAGACTGAGGACAAGTCCCGGTACCACTGCCTGGCTGGCTTTTTGGAGCCTGGGGCCTATGCTGGGACACTTTGCTCAGCCTGGGTGAAGGGAGGAGGGGACTGGACCTTGTAGCTTTAGTTTTCTGCCTTGCCCACAGTCAGGACAAATTTTTTGTCACCCACCAGTCCCACAGCCGCTCAGACCCAACCAAGTAAACACAGAGACTTATATTGCTTACAAACTGTATGGCCGTGGCAGGCTTCTTGCTAACTGTTCTT